ATTTTCACTTATACTATTATGTCTCAAAAGCTATGCTAGTTGCCCCTCTTTACCTACAAAATTTTTTTAGCTTTCCATCTCTGACCGAGTTTCCCTGCCTTTGTCGTTGCGCACAATTACGTTGTGACCACACCAATTGTAAGTCCTACACACCTAGCGTTTGATGTAAACTTAGGCAAAAAGCTCAGACGCAAGAGCTATGTTTCAAGGAAAAAATAACATTCATTGGCGAGTCCACACCATGGTGTGATCCCGCCTGGGGCAAACATTGTACCGTTTCTTTGAGTTTTACAATGCACATGTGATCACATTCAATAGTGGCTGATCTGTGACGCGATGGGCATTTTATAACCCTATTCGTATGCCCTGGGGTCATTTTGTACCTCTGGGGTTGTATTCTTCACATTTTAAAATACTTCTAGAGTGATGATCTCTTTGAAACTTTCAGTATTTCTGAAAAAATCATTTTGACAGACTGCAAAGCGTACAGATTGGATTAACGAGTAAATTTCCTCTTTAGAAATGGTGGCACATAGTTCCCCACGTCGTATGGACACGATAGTAAAACAAGACGTACGGATAGGGTTAATAATGTGGCGTCAGTGGCCTAGTGGTTAGGCTCTAAAACTCGCAACCGTAAGGTCGTGGGTTCGAATCCCGTCAGGGACCCGACGTGTCCTTGGGAAAGGCACTTTACACGAATTTTCCTAACTTCACCCAGGTGGGAATGGGTACCCGGCTATAGACAGCGAAAGATCTTGTCAGTTTGTTAGTGTTTGAGCGCTTAATCAGCTGCTTGCACTGTATGCTTCACGGGAAGCTGAGAATGTTTCGGAGTGTTCTATGGTCTGCTGGGGTAATAATATAGTGTAAAGCGCATAGAGCCTGCTGTTGAGCGGGGATATGCGCTATACAAATGCTATTTATTATTATTATTACTTTGATCTCAACTTTTCATTCTTGGTTGATTGGCTGTGCAAGCCCGAGGTTTTGTTCTGTAAATTATGATCTGAATGCGGGATCTCGAATGTAGACCTTTTGAGTGAATGAGAGCAGGATCTTACGAGTGACTTTTGTGAAGTAAAAATTCTGTTTTCTACACTTTGCCATCACATTTTGGGGAAAATCCAAAGAAACTAGGCGGTAAACATCGCCGATCAGCGAGATGAGGCGGTTAAGTGTTAAAACAGTGGGATCTAAATTAAATGAACCAGGATCTTAAGCGGTGAGACCTTAAGCAGAGACTACTGTGCTACAATTCAAGCAGAGACTACTGTGCTACAATTCATAAATGACTTTTGAACAGTTTTCCATTAAAATACATGACGAATTGTTCCACTTTTGGCGATATTTTCTTGTATACAAGTCTCCCAAAATTTTGCAACACAAAACCGTGACAACATTTTTTATCAATGGATTTAAAAAATTTGAAAATACTGTTCTTTCATTTAAGATGTTATACAGCAATTTCAATTAACATTTCATTTTATATTGTCATAACTAAGGAACGTTCTTCCTTGAATGAAAGGCAAAAATTCATTGGTTTATATTCCAAAACTGTTAACCCATGATTTACAGTCATTGTAGAAGTAAACAATCCGCAGTCAGTCGAATTCGTTTCGTTTCAGTATTCAACCAATAATAGCCTTGAAATGCCTTTATTAGTACAAGTTTTGAGTACCTAGCACACCTCTGTAATCGGTCCAAATATAGATCATGACGTATTTCAGCCATCTATTTTTGTCGTCTTCCAGGGCTTCCCTCGCCAGTTGACTAGATCTCACCGTGGCGGGCCCGCTTTGCCGTTAAGGGCGCAATGGGCTACGCCACTCGGTTTCATTGCCGACTGCATGGGCTGTGTGAGCGCTCGCGCACGCGCTTGTGTGTGTTTGTGTACAACTTTGAGGAGAAGGTAAATTTATGGAATGAGAATTTCTGAGATTGTTCTCATAACAGAACACAAATTAAGACAAAAGAAACAAACATGGCGAGATCTAGTCAACAGTTACTGGCGAGGGAAACCCCGGAAGACAACAAAAGTAGATGGCGCAAATATATCATCTCTATATTTGGGCCAATCACAGAGGTGTCCTAGGTGCTCACTGTTGCTTCATACGCTTTGTATACCTGTACCAGTAAAGTCAAATTTGATCCCTGATTCTTAAAGTAAAATCCATCCTTCACACATGAGATGACAACCCCAAATGGAGGGCTTAAGCACACCTTTACCATTTGTTAAAACTTTAGACATGTCAATGAAGCGCAAGTTAGTTTTTGTTAGACACTGATGTCTTGGAGTTAATTTATACTTGTCAACTTCCTGAAATTAACTCTAGAATCTAGATCTAGATCTAGAACTAAATAGGCCGTAACACCTTTTGCATCAATTTTTACTTGGAACTAGATTTAAATCTGTTGCTGGAAATGACGGCATGGCCACTAGGCCTCGATATAATTCTTTGGAAGGACGGTAAGATTGTACTTTACCGGACCACCGGTCGGAACTACTTTCGCTGTGGCGCCCCTGGTGCCTAGTGGCCCGCTGTTCTTCGTTTCCGAGCTCCCCTACTCACTCTCCTACTCAGTTTTCTACGTCCTCACTCTTCAACTGCCAGCAACCGACTGCCGTCTCTTACCGGGTTTTTCAGTCATCACGACCGTGCCACTGTGCCCTTTGACCCATGACCCTGACACCTTGAGGCTAATTGGTCAATCTAATCACGTGGTCCACTATTCTTATTTGCTCGCGACTCTGCTGGCTTGGCCTAGGCCCTAGGCCTACTCCTGGTCCGGCAAAGTACAATGGAGGGCTAGAGATGGGCACGAGAGCTCATTTGCATAATTGCAACCCCATTGGCCCTGCTCGCGACTTATCATGCTATTGTTTATATGTGTGTGTGTGAGTGTCTTTAAATTATTGTTGCCAGGGGGGCTAGCCCCCCTGAACCCCCCCCCCCCCCCACTGATATGTAAACACGACTGTCCGCTCATGTTATTGTTTCGCATTTTTGTGTGTTTTCTTTATTAGTTTCCAGGGGGGCAAGCCCCCCTGAACCCCCCCCCCCACCCCACTGTTGGTATGATACACGGTGGTCCACCAAAGTTAAATCCCCTGCCCACTCTCAACCACCTCCACCTCTCGCTCACCTCGCCTCGCCGCTGACTTCGCTGTGCGTGCACGAAGTCGCCCGCTGAACTACCTTTTGTCCGCACACAGAGTACTATGAGTGCGTAGTTAGGCTAGGCGTGCGTAGTAATCACGGGCCGAGACGGGTGGTCCGGTAAAGTACAATCCAGCCGGAAGGACTTCCGTAACGAGCAACCACCCCATCAAACACAATAAAGAAGAGACCTAACTCTACCCCTAAATTTTGCGGCGCTTTTTCGGTAGTTCCCACCCCCCTTATTTGATAGAGCCTGACCTACATCTAGATCTAGATTTCTAGATCTAGATCTCTATATACGTTTGATTCGCGGCAAGCTAAGATGTCAAACCTAACAACTGCAAAACATTAAAGTGTGGTTACAAAATTCAGGGGGGCATGCCCCCCTGAAACCCCCCACTTTGTTTTTATTAGGTCAGGTGGGCAAGCCCCCCTGAAACCCCCCTACTCTTGGGGCCAAAACCGGCGAATAACAAATGCGGGGTGGGAACTACCGAAAAAGCGCCAATTTTGCTCTGTCTCACAGTGGTCGCTCGTTAAGGAAATCCTCCTAATTCTTTACATCCATGCAAGCTGACTGACAGGAAATGAGGAAGGTGTTGGCTAGCCTACTTGAGAACTTGTCTTCAACATCAGGCTGGTCAATTCATGACCAAGGTATTTTGAATGGTGATGTTTCAATCGGGAGGACTTCCGTAACGAGCGACCACTATGAGACAGAGCAGAATTGAGGGCTTGAGGTAGGGGTAGGGGTAAGGGTAGGGTTAAGGGTAGGGGTAGGGTTAGGTCTAGGCCTCTTCTTTATTGTGTTTGATGGAGTGGTCGCTCGTTACGGAAGTCCTTCCTTTCAATCATTGGTAAATCATATCTTCACAAAAACCAACACTTATTTTATACCAACTTGTCCTTAGTCTACCCTGATGGGCCTGCTTAGCTACTAGATCTAGATCTAGATCTAGATCTAATCTAGAGTCTAGATTATTAGATCTTGATACCAGCCGTTGACAATCTAGAGATTCTAGGTTCTAGATTAGATCTAGGTCTAGAGTCTAGAATCTAGTAGCAGAGAGAAGGCCTTTCTTCTTCCTGCCTCCAGTTTTCTTGGTCTTAGTTTACACGTAGACTCAACAAGGCCTACAAATGCAGTAATAATCAGGACATGCTATAACTGTTGTACCAATCATTAGAACTAATATATTCAAATTCCATGGTCAATAATCATTTCAAACAGAATAAAATGTAAACTTGTAAAGTAGGCCTAAAAAAACTGTGGATCCGGTTCTTTCGTACGTTATCGATAAAAGGTTGCCACTGTCACAGTTAATCATAATTTATGTCGTATTGGTTGGCGGATAGAGAAATACGTAAAATATTCTGGCTACCCTAGAACATTGACACAGTAATTACTCATTACAGAATGTCTAACAATGAAAGTTGGCTCACGTATTTCGTTTACACAAATCGACAACAGGCAAGATGTTTTTGAATACTGAAAATAAAACACCAAGTCATTATACGCAGCAACTGCCACTGGCCAAATTTCCTGCAGACTACAAAGGGGCGTGTTCAAACTCCAAACTCTAATAAACTAATTATGAGGCCAATCATGAAAACAACATCACAAAACACACACCACAATGTCTGCACACTGTTGTAAAGCTTTGGTGAAAGAGGTATGACCCTAACAACGAGCTGCAAGCCGTATATAACTAATTCTTGTAGAGCGATATTTACCTGACCAAAACAATATGGCGGACGTGGCGATTATTTCGTTGCACATGCCACGTCAATGACGCGCATTTGGGATAGCAGCATTGAGATTAGAAGGACCCCGATCATGTGACTGTGGACAAAATGGCGTAGTCCATGCTCTTTGCGCATAGCCTGACCAAAATAATTATAACTTCACTGTCTTCACTGTCCAATGGTTTAAAGAATTCACGCTACAGCACAGAATGTGATTATAAGTAAGAAATTTTCCGCAACAGGCATTCTGTACGGTTATGCTCTTAGATTCAGAATATTTATTATAGCTTAGGCCTGAGTAGGGCCTAGACTCTAGATCTAGATCTTTATCTCTAGATCTAGATCTAGATCTAGATATAGATTTAGATCTAGATTCTCTTTCTAACTTCTAGATGTAGAATCTAGATTTAGATCTCTAGATTGTAGATCTAGATCTACATCTACATCTACATCTACATCTAGAATCTGGAGATGATCCGAGATTGGGAAATTTTTACTTTTACACCCACACACAGATAGGCCTTCACTGATATGAAGGCTAAACTGCCATAATTTTTGCTGCAGAACACAAGTATGGCCACTAAAACCCTTGCAAATCAATTGTTTTCTCATGTAAATATCAATCCTAATTGCCAAAACATCAAATCATTGTGAAATCCCCCCCTGAAACCCCCCAGTTTCTTTTTAGGTCAGGGGGGCATGCCCCCCTGAAACCCCCCATGTTGTTAAAAGCAGAGCTGGTTGTAACGGAGTACTTGTACACGTTACAATTTTCGGTACTTTTACTGTACTCCGGTACATTTTGAGAACCAGTACTTTTACTGTACTCCGATACTTTTTATAGAAGTACTTTTGAGTATTTTTAAAGTACATTTTGAGTACTTTTGAAGCTTAATGAAAGAGTAAGTGCCGGCATTTCTGATCATAATTTACGGAACAAACACCCGGGCGGGCACAGCCAATCAACCAATTAGAGTTAAAAGTTGAGATCAAAGAACTGCCCGTCGCGTCAAAGATCAGCCACTCTCGTGAATGTGATCACAAGCGTTGTAAAACTCCATGAAACAGTACAATGATCCCCAGACGGGGATGCGTTTCTTTTCCCCAAACATCACACTCGCATCTGCTCGCCACATCACTCGCTGGGTGGGTAGGGCCTACAAGTTCGCTCCATGTAGGATCACATCGAACTGTGAACTCTTCTCTGACCATTGAAGTTGAAGGAAGTTTTTCTCTATTCCCGACTTTGCGAGACAACCTGAATTTTAATTGGTGTGGTCACAACGTAACGTAATGGTACGTAACGACAAAGGCAGGGGGAACTCAATCAGAGATGGAAGGCTACAATTTTTGGACAGGTAAAGGGGAGGGGCAACTGGATAAATGTAGATATAAAGATCTCGAGATGGTATATTATGCTAATGAGTGTACGGTATAATATTAAGGCATGCCTCATGCTACCATGTTACTGTGATTGGTCATCAAGGTTGACCACTCTTTGCTCGCCATATGTCATAAACCCACCCAGGGGTCACGTCAGTTCATGGTTCACTGTAGATTCTTCCTTAGTTCGTCGGCTAAGATCCCGCATTTCCCTTGCTCCCAAGCGCTGGGATCTTAGGTGGAGACTATTGTAGTAGAGCATTTTTGGTTACACTACACTTACTAGACTCTAGGAAATTACATGTAGGCCTCTATTTTGGTTTGCCGTGGGCGCCGTGCACTACACAGTGTGACCAAAATCTGTCTTACCACTATTATAATCTAAATTGAGACTCAATCATGTATATCAATCTAACAATTTTTAGGCTACCTAAATTTCTTTTTAACTTTTTTTGTGGTTTGTGCTTAAGGCTACCTTGATTCCTTGAGGATTTGTTAATGAAGAATTCAATGCACGTTTCCATTTTAAAAAATATTTTTTTGCTGGCCATTTTCATCAATTTTATATTTTCTTAAGAGCAACTTTGTCTCTACATTTTCCAATTTGGATACTTTTCCTACTTTCCGACCTCTAGGACTCACTTACATTTGATCATATTGACTAGCTCAAACAAGTTCTATTCATGATATCACTTACTCACTAGTTGCGTCTGTTTGCTGGAGTTTTTTATTCAATTTCATGGACCATTTCCACCTACGTTCAGTGCGTATATTCAAATGCTTTGTATACTGTTTACATTATTAGTAATAAATGGCTTAATTTGTCAAATATACACTAGGTATGTTCTTATTCAATATGATGTTTTGCATTAGCACTGAAGTGTTTCATCATATTAGCAGAAAGTACTCAAAATGTACTCATAAGTAATTTTTTAAAAAGTACTTGTACTCAAGTACATTTTACAGGAAAGTACTTTTACTGCACTTAAGTACATATTTTAGATTGTACTAAAATTTGTACTTAAGTACCTTTTTAAAAGTACTTTAACAGCTCTGGTTAAAAGTAAGTCAAATATATTATTACTACGCCACTGGTCCTAGTTCTGTTTTCAAACATGAATAACTCAGTTACTATTGATTTGCGGCCAAAATGAAGGCCATATTCGTGTTCAGCATGCAAAATACTACTAGAAAAAAAGTATATCAAACCTGTACATGAGACGGGTGTATAAGTAAAAAAATACCCCGAGATCTAATCTACTCTGTCTTCTTTTTCTTCTCAGTTTACGTAGTGTACAGCATCAAAATCAATCTGGGCGGAAGAAGGGTGCTGCACAATCACAGACAACCGAACCAAACCGAACAGTTCTGCAAGTTTCAAAGTAAATAATCCGAGTCGGCAGGGTACAGTTGTGCGATCGTGTTGCCACCATGACTGACAAAGTGGGAATCCCTCAATGACGTCAAACAAGATAGCTATTACTATAAATTTAATATCAGCCAATGACGTTTAGTTGTCGTTCTCTAGCTATCCGCTTGTAATACAATAGGCATAACTACAAAAAGTACATTGAACATTGCCAATCATGACATTGCAATTCATGCACAGATCTCTGTAATACAAGACCAACTTTCAAAGTCTAGTGATCTAGTCTTACCATAACGGTTCTGGACATTCGACTGCTCATAAACAAAAAAGGAACTGAGACTACTGAGTTTTTGAGTAAGGTAAATTCACCCATCCCTATAAATTCAGCAATCCTTTTCCCCTCAATCCAAACGTATGTTATCGAAGTGACTACAGTGGAATCCTGTTATAACGAGAGGGAGGGAACCGGTGCCAAATGTCCGTTATAGCTGGATTCTCGTTATAAGGGATCCAGTAGTAAATTCAAGGGAAATAGTAAAGTAGGCCTATTCTATGAGTCTGTTTTTCGGTTTATTTCTTTTTGCAATCTCCCCTGATGATGAGTTGGTTCAACATGACCTGTAAGACTTACTTGATCAAAAGTAGAATCAGGTTTCTTTCTCTAGCGCTAGCGATGTTGACAGCTCGGTGTAGACGATCAGAAAGAAAGTTCTCTAGGATAACTCGCCCGTTGTGTTGTCCCCTACCCCACCACGCCCTGTGGTGCGTTCCGTCTGCTTGTGCACTATGGGAACATGCCACACCCCGCCCACGTCACACATTCGCTCCGTCCATCACAGTACAGCACTATGACTTCTCCATCCATGCATCGGAGAAGTGGGAGGCATGGTAGGCCTAGATAATCTAGACTAGGCTGGCCTATCACACAATGCATTCTGCCTGTCTGTGCATGCCACACTCTCCCCACTCATTCAGTCTGGCCTTCATTGTTGGCACACATGGGCTCTCCCATTCTTTGTTTCACAGGGATAACCAAGAAGTTTCTCAACTGGAGAGGTTTTACATGATGAATAAATGGCCTATGCGCTGTGCACAGCAGCAGCTATATTCCGCTATAACCGACTCGCAAGTTTATCTGCTTGCATTATAGCAGTATTTTATTTACAAAGATAAATAAGGGAAAAAAGGGGGTTTTAGAAAATTGTCTTTAAAACAGACTTCTCGTTATTTCAGGACTCTTTATAAGTGGATTCCACTGTATCAGACTCGAGTCGGATTATAAAGAAAAATTGTATTCAGACTGACTCGAGTCCAGCAAAACGTCACTTTCGACTTCTGGCTTTCTGTTACGTAAAGTCCCCAGATGACAGTTATATTATGTACCCTCACTAACACTCAGTTACTAGATATAGATATAGCATCTCTAAACTGGCCCTCTCTGCATCATTAGGCCTAGTATCACCTAATACTAGTAGTACTAGGCCTAGTATTATAGGCCTTCAGAACAACCAAGTAAGTTAACCTTGACAGGGGCGAAGTTAAATATGTCGACCAATGAGAACGCGCGTAACCGATCACGCACTCTCGGCTTGCTGGGGGAAGAGGTCTTGGGAAGTGGTCACGATTGCCGTTTTTGTGTTGTGTCCTTTTTAAAAAAAAATTAATTAATTACAGAAAAGTATAACACATAAACAAAATGAAATTTTACATAGGGCCTATGTGGAAAAACAAATGGGGAAGAAAGTAATGATGATGCTGTTGTGGTGGTGGAAGTAATCATGATGCTGTTGACTGTTAGCGGTGCCTTGGGCAATTTACCGTGTATGTTGATCCTGAGTTGTCGGTTATCATGTACGTAGACACTGCCATTGGTCAATGAATGAGAGTGCAGTCTTTTGACTTTTGACACAGTTGCATTCTCCTAGTAGGGAATTCTAGTTCTAATTCTGGTTTTACGTAAAATCCCACGACGACATTTATATTGTAACCTCCTTACACTCACATAACTGGCTAAGTTAGACGCAGAGTCCAAATATATAAAACATTTTTTTCGAACTGAGTCCGAATAGATAAAAAATCTAATCGGACTCAAGTGCTATTGGACTCTAGTCCGAATAGAGGTGGCCATATCTTATATCTACTCTTTCATTTCAATCCTAAATCCGGGGTCCAAAAGTTGATTTAGTTTATTTTACAGTCATGCAGATCTTCCCAAAGTCTCTTTGTAGTTTGAGACATTAAATTAAAACAAACTTTGAGTCCTTCAACTTCTTGTTCAAATGACAGAAAGCACATGGATTCAGCCTTATGTAATAAACTGAAAGGCAAAAAGAGTTTGATGTAGGTGCTGTAAATGAGCAAGCTGTTGACCAGTTCATACAAGATCAATTCTCTTCCTTGCTTCACTAGCTGGTTACTAATCCAGAGACTGTCCAGAGTAGAGAAACAAACAGCGGTGTCGAAATTGCAGTATTCTTTTACTTTCTCTCCTGTATCAGACTTAGCTATACCAGTTGTCTATTTTCTACTCATGGTCTCTTTTAAGCACAAGGGGGCTATCCCGAAAAACACTGTTTTGATCATGTCGAAGGTAAAATTTTTACCCCTTTTTAGTTTCTTTAAAAGACAAGGAGAGCTTTCTCTATAACCAACACCAATGAAACCAAACTTCTCCTATAGGTAGGGCAATGCTCACTTTTGGTGCAGGTCAAGATTTCTGGAAACCCCCGGATTCTGGGTTAGCCCTCTTGCCCTTAAAAGTGACTATATATATTGATGTGCTGAACACGAATAGCAACTTCATTTGTGTCGCAAATAAATATTTAAAAAGATATTTGATGTTTTTAAATTGAGCTATATCACAATAAGTCCAACTGCGTAGTAATTTGCGCACTTTGGACCCCCCGCAGTTAGGTTTAAAATTTCTTGAAAATAATTGATTTGCGAGTTTTAGTGGCTATATAGGCCTACATGTGTGATCTGCAGCAAACAGTACTGCAAGTTGACCCCCAAAGCAGTGCAATCCGTGTGCGGGAGTGAAAGTAAAAATTTACAGAAATTGCTTGGTTTCGGACAAACCTCATTCCCACTGATTATTTACTTTTACTTTAAGAGATCCACATTGCTAGAAATCTTGTTTTGGGTCACTATAGTATAATTGGTTGAAATGGGAGTCCAGGAGGGTCTGATTAATTTAAAGTGCTTAAGAGTCAGAAGAATCTCTTTTCTTCACCCTAGTGCTCACCTAAGAGATCCTTTCTAAGAAGTCCTTGATGTAAATCTAACAGTCAGCTCAAGGGACAAGGGAACTGAGGTGCACAGGTCCTGTAAATTTAGGGAACCGGGGCTGCGGAGGTGAAGTTGAAGAACAGTATATGGGAACTTTCTTTCAATATGAACTGAGATTAAACACACTTGTGACTGTCCTATACAGATGCTGGATGATGCCAAAAAATTTCACAAACTTTTCTTTAAGACCTTGGTACAAGAAATCTTGGAAATCACTAAATCAGTGATTTCGTTACACGGTCATCTCGTCACACCCCTTATGTCTGACGAAATGACTTCACCTATCTCTTCAAAATTGTTATGCTAGTAGAGTTTTGGAGGATCAGCGCAGCAGTCTTTATTCTAAATCACCAAGTCAAGTTCAAGCACGTAATTGTTGGGGCATGCCCTCTTGTTTTTAAGTAACTTAAGCTTTTATTAAAGCTTTTTTATTTTTAAAGTCAATAATTATTAATATACTCGTAAATTAAATCTTCATCTGAACTGTTCCATAGTTGAGCAATATTTTAAATAAGGTTAAAAACAATGTCTGGTACCCGGAAATGACTGGTGGTACCTGAAATCTTTTATATGTGTCCTGGTAGTTGAATTTTTAAAAAGTATATGTAAAGCCTCAAGGGACTACCATTACACGTAATCGAAGTTGTCCAAGACGACCACCAATTGTAGAGGAGAAAAGTGGACATCTCAGTTCTTAAACCAATCTGGTTCTCTTGGACAGTTTCATTATAGTAATAGTTTAATAATGATAGTTCATCCATCAATGTCTGAAGATAACCAATACATCTGCAGAAGAGAATATTTTTTTTAGCGAACTTGAAGAATTAAAGGTTAGGATAACTTGTGGCTTTTACTAGGGCCTATGAGACCAATTCTATCCGAGAAGAGTTTGCCTCATTTTGAGCATTCAAAAGCTCCACTTCTATTTGTGGAATCATGCATGCAGCTTGCGAGCTTCTCTCTTGGTTTCAGCATTGCAATATAATAGAAAAGCGCAAAGGAGAATTGATAAGTGGTCATGTGCACAGGTGATTGTCTTTGACAGATGGTCATAAGAATAGGTTCGACTATGTCAGTGGCTTTTTTTGTTGAGTTTTTAAGTTTTAAGTGTTTTTGTTAAATACCATACACAAATTATATTCTCACTTCATTGTATAAAAATTAATATAATAACAAATATGCATTTAGAAAGTGTATACTTTATTTTTCAGGACTTGCAGTTTGTCAAATGGTACTCAGGCGGAACCTGTTGATGCAGGGATGAAAGCAAATTGATATTATTTGACTTTTGCTTCACATCATTCAAAATGGAGAGCAAAGATTTTGTGACAAGTTTTCATGCTAAACTGCATCAGTTGTGGGCTGATAGTGAACTGTGTGATGTTCAGTTATGTGTGGAGGAGATGGTCATACCTGCCCACAGAATTATTCTGGCTGCTCTAAGTCCATATTTCAAGGCCATGTTTTGTTCTCATTTGAATGAAAGACAAGAGTTTCAAATAAGAATTCAAGGTCTCAATGCTCAGGCTGTGAAAGCTGTCGTTCAGTTTGCCTATACAGCTGACCTTTGCCTAAGTGAAGAGACTGTGCAATCAGTAATGCAAACAGCCTCAATGATGCAAATTTCAGCGATTGAAAAATTGTGTTGTACTTTTTTATTAGAGCATATGTATCCTGAAAACTGTTTAGGCATCAGGGATTTTGCTCATGTTATGGGCTGTTTTGAGCTTAAAGAGGCTGCAGACAAGTACTGTGAAGACCACTTCTTTGATGTTTCTCAAAGTGAAGAGTTTTTCCAGCTGAATGTTGATGAGGTATGTTACATAAACTGATGCTGCTGTCTCACTAATATAATCGTAAGTGTGATGTATGAACAAGTATTGCATGATAACCTCCTATTTTAATTTTTAAAGTACATGTTTTTCAAAGCAAGGGTATGCAGTTAGGCATATGGGAACACTTTTATGAGTTGGGAAAGAGAGGGGGGGGGGAGCTCTCCGTGTTTGTCTGTGAGTAGCTGAATGGATCTGTTGCTTTCTAAAAAGTACCTTTTCTAGTATGACAAGATGTTATCTAATGTTGTCTCATTTATTTCATTTTTAATTCATTCTTATTTTTCCTTATATTCACTTATTGTACCATGTATTAATTTTACAAAAGTGTATGTCTGAAAAATATTTTTAATCACTAGTCTGCTTTATGGCTTTTTGTAGCTTTTACCTGAAAATAAAAGCAGTTTATTCTTTTATTCCTGAAATGGGAAAGTTAATCGGTATAGGGTCTGTGGGTAGGTTTTTGGTGTGTTATGTTTTAAGGGAAACTGAAAATTTACATTTTTGGTCTTTTTTTCTGTAAAAGGTCATTGGACTTATATCTCGAGATGGCCTGAGAGTTGCCAAAGAAGAAGAGGTTAGTATGAAGTGATGTGTGCAGTCATAACAGTTTTTAAAGAATAGAGTATAGAGATTCAAGCTATACTAGTTAATGTTAGACAAGTAGCTAATCCAGGCACTAACACTTTTAGCACTTGTAAGTCACACACAACACATAATTGACCCAGATGCTCTTCCCACTGTGTTAAAAGCTAGTGACTATCTGTCTTGTATCTTTTTCCGTTTATGAAAATGTTTTAGCTGTAAGAGTGTGGATCTTTTAATCTCTTTTTCTCAAAACTATGCATCATGGAGTTAGATCACTGTCATTCTACTGGGGTGATGTAATTACAGTCAAACCTCATTGTACCACTTACTCTGCTTATGGCCCGGATTTGCCAATACGCGAAAAGAATCCCCTATTTGCGCCTTTACATTGTCACTCGCCAACTGTCTCAGTTGTACGATCCTTATTAAACTTCTGTAAATACCTCGTTGTACCGCCAACGAACTAGCTGCCAGAAGTATACAGTACACACTAGACTACACATGGCGCATGGCACATCCACTCGGTGGTTTGCTTGACAATCTTTCACCCACGTCTCTACGAGCCAGGCCAAGGTTTTGAACAAACGCTTTTCACCGATTGGCTTCCTCCCTGCATATCCCCCCCTCCCCCCCCACCCTTGTCTTGTAGATTTCAAACAATATAGGATAGATCCACAGTGATGGAGTGTGTTGCTAGCGAACACAATACGTGTAATGTAGAGGTGTAAAATTAAAATAAAACAAAACTTTGTAATTCAGCATCAAATTTCGCTCCCCACGTGAATTTGACTAAAGTTGGTGCGCTGATTATGAAAATCGTATTATTTTTAGGCCTTGGTGGTCAATATTATATTTCAAAAATTAAAATTGCAATTACATTTTTAAGTCGCTTGGAGAAACTCTAATGGAACGCCACCATCAATCTGTATTGCTGTTTCGAATACGTATATATCTTTATATAACTGTAAAGCTCTTGTGATAAATTCCTGCATGTGGTCGAATGATGCATCTGATGTGATATATATATATGTGAAGCGTGCTGACAAAATGAGTTACTTCTTGCAATCCACAAACGGAAATATTGGCCAAAAGTCCACTCTATAGGGTCCGATTAGTAGATTTTCTATTGATGCCACATTCTTTTTGTATAACGTACCTTTTATTATTCCATACTTATAAACTGTAAAAACTTCACCTAATTGCGTGATGTATCTATTTCCATAAGGCTTGGATCCGAGAAGTAACTCATTTTGTCAGCACGCTTCACATATGTATTTTCAGCTTTACTTTTCATATTGAATTTTAATGAGAGTTTTTATGATAATGTACAGCCAAGAAAAATTTCCCTCTAACTTGGAAATTAAGTCTTATTTTATCTTATCTTACATGTATGATTTTCATATATATGGACAGTGTTTTTCTGTTTGTTTCAGCATTCTCTTCCTGACTTCTTTTTTTAAAAACTTTTAAAATTTAGGTTTGATGCTCTGCCTTCAAAATGGCTTGCTTGTGTCAATATGGAATTGAATTGATTGAAAGACAAAATATTAGTTGGTACCGCAGCAGTTGTTGGTGTGGTTTATAGTTTACTATTTTATTACATTTTGGGAAAAGTGTTTTGAAGAAATTCTATATTTTTAACTTACGTAAAGAACATTTAAGTGCAGTGATTTCTATTTATACCCACTTACGCAAGATTTTTCACATATCAGAATCTCTCTTGAAGGTGAGGGTACTTGTTCATGAAATGAATCTGTTTCACTCAGGTGTACGCTGCTGTAATGAGATGGGTGGAGTTTGATCCGGAGAGAAGCAAGCAAGACATTGTTCGCATCATGGAGCATGTCCGATTGCCACTAGTACAGTGGGATTTTCTGACTAAGAAGATTAGCAGAGATGAACTGTTTGTGTCAAATGAGGAGTGTCGCAATTATCTCCAGGTATTATATATAGGGAGGATAACACAATGCGGAATATAAATTCTACTGAATCATTATGAATTTTTAAAGAATGTATAGATTATTTGTTATAATGGAAATGGGAGAGTTTGTTTTAAGGGCAGTGATAATGTTTGATGAATTAATGGGTAGTTCGGATAGGAATCAGGATAGTTTAGATGATGATTAATGGAGGTGGGTTTTATAAATTGAAAAAAAAAATTGTTTGAATAAGATTTTTTTTTCAAAGTAATGATTTTTATCATGTGAACATTTTTATGGCCTCAACAGAAAGGGAATGTTTATCATTTGGTATTGTACTATCTTTGGTTTAACTTTTAAAGCTGTGGAGGTACAACATTTTTAGAACATTAAAAAAATCATGAGAAACATCTTTAAAAATCAGTCATGTAGTGTCAAGGCTACTGTCTGTATGCCCAGTTTATCAGTAGCTCTGGCTGTTTAAAGTTGTTTGATTAAACCTGTCAAAGATATTTCTATTGTTTGCCTTGTTTGGAAATGGTGTCATTACTGCAGTATTTATCACTTACAGTTACCATTTCAGAGCAAGTATTCCATTAGACATGTTTTTATGATTACGAAATCAGAACATGGTGATACTGAATAAAAACTGACTTGGGTTCTTTTTGAGGTCTGTAGTTGTGGGGAGGGGTTATAACTGATTTTGCTACTTAAGGTTTGACCATATTTGAGAAAATATTCCATGCTTCTTTTTAATAGTGTAAGTCATAAATATATACAGGAGTCCTGGAGTTGGAAAATGTGGGGTAGTATTGTATTTCTGACAATGGTTTGAAAAATGTTCTGGCATTTTCTACCCTTTCCTTAGCAAGCAAGAGCATTCCAAGCCAGTTCCTACCATCCAGACTTGATAAATTTTGCTTTCAACGAAGCTGTTCCAAGATCTCACCCTCGTGCATTTTTCTCTGCAGCAGACAGATTATATTCCATAGGTATGTCAATATACTTTAACAAAGCACGTATTTAGGAGCTTTTAAAAAATTTACAAACCTTTGATTTCAGTTTGTTTATTCGTCAGATAGGTTAACTTCATTTCAGTTTACAAGATCTTTGAAAAAATCAAGCTTACTGTAGTTCTTATCTGAAAGTTCATTGGGTAGAGTAATATTCTTTACAGTCATCAAACAGACACAATAGTAGTAATTAAGTCAGGAACTAGGAAATTACAGATGAGAAATAAAACGTTTTTTCTGCATTATGGACTAAAATGATTAAGTTGCACTGTACTACATCAAATATTTTGTAATGGTGAGTTTTCAGGGGGGGGGGGGGGGCAACTGTCCCTTTTTTGTCGTACCCTACTAGTAACAAATATGTCATTGTGTGGATATATTTTCAGGACTCTTGATCCATTGATGAAATTTGCCGTTGTACAGTGCTTGCAGAAGAATACTATGTGATAACTGTCAAAGCTCAACAACCCTTGACTCTAAACATATATTCATAATTCATGAGCACCAAACCCTTCATAAAGTCAATCTATGATTTTCACAGGTGGGGAATCCTCTAGTCGAGAGATCCTTTCATCATTTGAGAGTTTCAGTCCGTACACGAACGAGGCTAAAGAGCTGCCACCCCTTCCAGAGGCAAAAAGGAGCTTGGGAGTAGCGATTCTTGATAAAATCATCTATGCATTCGGAGGTGCTTCCGGATTCCAGGGATCCCGAACTGTGCATGCATTTGACATTGATAAACAGGAGTGGCAGGTCAAAAGTCCGATGTGTGAGGTTCGGAGCAGTCTTGTGGCTGCTGTGGCCTGTGGAAACATTCTTGCTCTGGGCGGACATGGCGAAAATTCTGTCTTGACTTCAGCTGAAAAATACAATGTTGAATTTAACTCCTGGACTTTTATACCAGGTAAGCCATGATTGGTCTCTCTTGTCTGGTTTTCAGAATCCAAGTTTTCAGCAATAGAATGTGATTGAAAAATTAACAATTATTCTCATGTTTTGTCTACATATTTTCTGTTTATCTCTCTTATATTCTGAATCCTGGTTATTTGAAGACTTCACTTAGGTTTTACTCTTTTACTACAGAGTATAGCTTCTCTTTAAAATAGAGATAGTCTGAGGTGCTGGTCAGGAGGAGAACATATCAATTTTATATAGTTAACTGTAGCCATCAGAGAGAATAGAATGTTTAACTATATTTTGAAACTTCCCTTGCAGTTTCGGGGCTCAAAGAAATCCGAAAGACCCTCTATGGAAAAGTTTAAGTCTATGAAAGTCAATATAGGTTACCGACCCATGGTTTTCATTCAGGTTTTGATTGGATATGAATGTAATACTGTTCCATTTCCTTCATGCAAGTGTAAAATGCCATTCAGCGCTCTATGTAGCGTGCTGCTGCTGTGGCAGAATATTGGATTTTTCAGTGCAATGTGCGTTGTGTTGTAGGAAAAGAGTTAATTAGATTTAGAACAAAAGGGATAAATTCCTAGCTTTGTGATTGTATGATTTTTATTCCTTGCAATTTTAATTCAATATTTGTTTTTGTTTGCTTTTTTTATATGTGTAGGCTATTTGGTTGTTCAAGTAATATTATATACCTAAATATTGAGGCATCACATTGAATGCTTCAGTGGTTGAGTGATTTGTGAAATCAGACAAAAAAACAACTTCGAGCCATGTTGGTGACTCAGCTTTAGATTGGTTGGGTGAGTTTGGAGGGGTCCCCCTTGAGTAAGACACAAGAACCATCTGATCCAAAGCAGAATATTTCACACACAAAATCTGGGAATGATGCGTTTGTAAAGTTGTAGCATGGCTTGTTGTAACTTGTAATTTATTTTAATTACATCCAACAACCTTTATCTCTAGGATACATTTTCCGAATGGGATTAAATCTTTTCAAGTGAGGGACGTTTATGCTTTTAAATTTGTCCCTGGTGAATTTTTTTTCAAGGATATGAATTCTTTGTGGCATGATATGTGTAAATGAAAAGGTGATGTGGGGGGGAATTTTGTATTTTTTGTTTTATAAGTAAAGTTTTAGGCAGCCAGTACGTGGACAAATTAATTGTCTTTGATGTTGGGGGGTTTTTTTGCATGAACTACTCAGTTTGATTTTTTTTCTTGTTTTTTTCCTCAGAATTGCTAGAGCCGAGAAGCATGGCAGCAGTAGTTGTGATTGAGTCTAGTCTTTATTTATGTGGCGGATACAATGGCCTTGAAGATCTTCGCTCATGTCATGTGCTGGATACAAAGGTAAAACGTTTGAGCTTATTTTTGTTTTGTTTTGTATAATTCTGGTGGAAATTGTGGGAGTTGCAATTTGATTCCCACAACCCATTTTAAGAAGTTTACTTTCAAGCAGCATGCTTTTACAGCTGTGGGTATATTTCATCTTGAATGCCTTTTGAGTCTTCTTTTTTTTCTTCATCATTGTCATTCTTTTCTTTACACTGTTGCTGTTTGTACAGGGGATTGTCTCCTACAGGTTGCCGTTAGAGCAGGTTTGACTGTATAAGCTAAAATTTGTTGTTGAAACAGTCTGAAAAGATACATTTTGTGCTATTGTTATTTTCTTTATTTAAGATAGGAGTCCAGTCTGTCCAAGATGATCAACCATTGTCTAGGAGGAAAGTGGTCTTCTTAGACAGGTGATTGTCTTGGTTAGTGTCAGTGCAATATATTATACAGAACCCAAGACTGGAAGTGGGAAGTGGTCGTTTGTTCAGGTGTTTGTCTTGTACAGGTAGTTATTAACTCACTTGAGCCTATTTCCGTGTATTTAAGGGAGGCCCCGCCGGCCTGGTGGCCTAATCCTGTGTATATATGGGATGCGCTTTATTGATCGATATCTCCGGTGTTTTTCGGTTATAAGCAATAGGAAGTGGCGAGCCAACAGTTGACTGACTTGTTTTGTTTCGTTAAAAATTTGGTAAAGTTATGTGCGATACTTTTTGAGCTGTAATAGACTAAGTCAGTCACCCCTTCATTGCGATAGATGATTTTATTATAAATTGGGCGCGAAATAAAATTGCGTAGCCCCCAAACATTGCCATTTCAAAATATTGATAAAATAAAAACTTTTCTGACAAATTAGATGCAGTTTTCTTTTTCTTTGAGATCATTTCTTTCTTTCTCATTATGCCTTTAAAAAAATTATGATAGCTTTAACAGTTGTTTTTTTGGTGGTTTATGCTTCAATATACACCAAAAGTGTCAGGTTGTAATGGTTGTTAGGTGAAAAATAGCTCAGGCTCATGTAAGTTAAAGTAGGTTCAAGTATACTTGGTTTGTAACGTTCTGTTTTATTTGGATTCACAGATCTGGCAGTGGTCAGTGTGTCCCAGTATGAATGAAAGAAGGTCAATGCACGGTGCTGCAGTTTTGGATGGGAACATTTATGTTGCAGGAGGGCTGGGTCATAATACTTGGTAAGTGAGATATATCTTCTATTTTATGTTGTAGTAAGGTTTTACTGCACTCGCTACTGCATAAGGCCATATGAGCACCAAGAGGTGGATGTCAATGGAGAGGTCCAAACGGGGAATCAAGCTTACTCTGCTCACTTCTCTAGCCTCAAGAGCACAGTCTGCTTAGTTTATCAAGGCACCCCGTAAATAACAGTTCACAAGAGAGTGACAAACATACAAAAGAAGTAGAGGAAAAATGACGATAGTAAGAATGAGGAAAGAAGACTTTTCTGCCACAGTTTCTTGGAATTGATGAAATAATTACTTTTCTACTTTGCTTTTGAGCTGTTGGTCTGTTCTCATAGGTATTTTTTCCCCCCGCTCTTATCATTTCTTCGATAATTGAATGGATGGGGAGGTTTGTTTATTTTTATTGTGTAACTGTTTACTTAATACTTATTTGCATAAAGTGTTCACAAGCAGAGTTTTTCAAGACTGCAGTAGACAAGTTATATGGTTCTCCCCATATCAGTGTTGCGTGGGTTATTGATCTGATCAGATATCAAAATTTTGATGGGAGTTCCAATGTAATGGAGGTATGTGCATCATCAGAATTTAAGGTTTCAGCTTAACAGTTTTAAAAAGTCTGTATGATGATGCAACTGGTCCTCCCTACATATCACAAATTTTTTGTTATACCATCATTATCATCTTTATCATTTTTGTGAGAAAGGGCCCACAGTTTTGTTGGTGGAATCAGATCTTTGATAGAAGCAGGCAACGTCTGTTACAGGATGTATTGGTCTCTCGTATTGCAGTTTGAGTAGTGCTGAAGTCTTCCATGTAAGCACACAGCAATGGACGGTCGTCCAGGCGTTGCCGGGAGCCCGACGGGGGTTCGGTCTGACCGTCATTGGGGATACTCTGTATGCAGCGGGTGGTCATGATGGGACATCTGTTCAAGGATCCATCTTGAAATACAACAAAAGCACAGGAGATTGGGCGAGTATTGGTCATCTTATCACAAAGAGAGGGCGATTTGGTTTGTTGTGAGAGTTTTGTTTTGTTTGTGACTGAAACTGACAAGGTCCAATTTGAAGTCTTGAACAGTTTTTTTTGTGTTTAAGTTACAGGGTTTTTCTGGAGAGAAAGATAAGTTTTGATTTTGGTTCCGATTAACATGGTGGAATGTGACAGACAATAATGCATTTTTAGATGCCGATCTAACCTCACTAGTCGTCATATGTTTTTAATATATATGTCTTGTGTATGTCTCATTCAGACTATCCCTAAAACAATGTAAGTTTATTTTTCTACAGTCAAGCGTGCATATAGCGAACACACATTGAGAAAAGATTTCCAGGTCCTGATTTTTTTTTATTCATGTATATTCTTTGTATTTAAAACATGTACATTGTACATGACAAAAAGATTTCCACGCACCCCGTCCCCTGATTTCTCTATGTGCGTTGTGCATGTTAGACTGTTTATTGAAACCTTGCTGAAATAATTTGTCACATGGCATTTTTTCTGTCCATTATGCTACCTATAACTATTGTTTTGAACGAATCAAATATGTTTGACTTGCATACAATTTTTTGCTAATCAAAATTATTCTTTATTTACTACTGATTGTTACAGTTTATGTAGTTTTGGGCATTTTGTCTGCTTTTAATACTTTGCATAATTGGTGTTGAAGTATTTTTAAATTGCTGAAACTGGTGATTAAACTGCTGTCAAAATTGTTTGAAAAATCAAATTCTATTTATTTATTTACATGCACATGTGGTGTATTTATAATATTAATCAGCATAAAGTATGACTCGTTTGTGTGTATGTGAAAGATCGAGAGTTGTATTTTGGGGACATAGCATGGAAAATGATATGTTCATGTTATCAAGGGAAATGTGTACTTTACAACTGCAGACCTTGTAACCGGTTTTTGTCGTTATTTTTCTTCCTTTTTTTATGTTGAATCCACAAACTACAATGAAGTGCCTTTTTGGTTGGAATAACCAACCTTTTCAAGCAACTTTGTACTTGTTGAAGGAGAGGGAAATTACTTGCGCTTCTGTCTCTTATACTTATAGAGATATAGTGGCATGACATATTAAAATGCTTCCAGGTGGTGCCATCAACAGTCTGTTTATGTTTGATTTAGAGATCGTGCTTAAATTCTGACTGCTGTGATTTGTAATGCCTTAAAGTCTTTTTATTGAGTACCGGTTTTTGAATCTTAGAGAATGAATTTATTTGCCCTGGTGCTGCAATCCTGATATGATACATTGACTTTCAAAATTTTGTATTTTTTATTTTAGTTTTTATTTAGAAGATTGTTTACTACTGCATGTAAACATTTTTTGTGTGTTTTTGTTGTTGTTGTGGTGGTGATTGTTTTAAGTCTACAGAGTGCTTGATAAGTTTATGAGATCTTTTTAATCATTATACCTCAGTGCATTTTAAAATGAAATATGATGTGGGCTACCTTATTTTTGCCTGCAGAAATCTCATCTTAGGGTCATCTCTCACTTAGTATTACAATGCAATAAAACTGGCATATAATTATGGCTGGAAAAAAGTTAAAACTGTCTGTGTTTTCTTTAAGAAATCATTTTCACCAGATTTCCTTGATCATCAAATACACTTGCATTCTGATATTATATACTATTCTTTGGAATTATGTACTTGCAGTTTCTCCTTTCATATCTTTAATATGAACTTCATTTCGACAGTGCAGTTTAAGAAACCGGTATGCCACATTTTTTTAAAAATCAAATTTTTTTGGCTTTCCTGTGGTGGCAGACTTTCCTTCGTCACGTATCTTTTCGATGCAAGGATTGGACTGTTATTACTCCTGTGCAGTCCAATCCTGACACCGAAAAGATACGTGGCGGAGAAAGGTCTGTGTCCAGGGAAAAGCAAAAAAAAGTCAATTTTAGAAAAATGTGGCCCACGAGTTTCTTGAACTGAACCTTCAATTTGTTTTAGATCTGAATTCTTCAACTCATTTGCTCTCAATTTTTACACTTTTTCTGCTCTTCAGAAGCTCATTCATGCAAGTCAGCACTTATGTGATCTAAGTATTGCAAGTGCTGTAAAACTCTTACTAAAACTTTTTTAAAATTCAAGCAAGCACAATACTCTCTGATCTATGTAAACCATCACGTACCTCAGGACGATGCTGGAGTGGGCCTGCCTATCAGCAGGTTTTGCATCTACGGATTTGTTCAAACAGCAGAAGAACAAAGTCACTTTGTTGTACAAAATGTAACGAATGTGAGGCATCGTGGGGAAATCAAGTGCTCGTCAAAATACTGAAATTGAAGAAACAGGCATTTGTTCGCCAGTCTAGCAATTAAGTTCGAATTTTTGTTGTTTGGCTCTACACCTTTTATGTCCATATAAAAACACATTTCCATGTGAGTTTTATTGAAAAACGTTTACTAAAAGCGCAAAATGTGTTATTTTTCAATTTTCATGGACTCTCTAAGTTATTGAAGTTACCAAACTCTGTCAGCCATTTTCTCACGAATTTTACCACGGAAACCAGGCAACTTCAACCTCCTTCAATCACAAATATATCTCGACTTCTTTTCAAGCCAGATGGCTATTTTTGTCATCTATAGCAAGACAAGTAAACAGGTTTTAAATTTTAAGATGATACCAACAACTCCACATGCCCAAAAATTGAGGATGGCCTGATTCCACAGCATCGTGACACAAATGATTTTGACTGGTTTGGCCAAATAGTGAGGGTTTCCTCTTTATTTGTATCTCATTTTTGTCTCCTTTTATATTGTGAATATAAACATTCTCAGGAAGCTGAAGGACAAGTCCTCTGCCAATAATGTGGACTAGTTTTAGTACAGTGGCTTACATGACCTATTTCCTTGTGTGGTTTGTTTGTTGTAAACTTTATCTACAGTTTCTTTAGGTTGTATGTGTATTTTACTTATTCATTTTGCATTTTTAAATAAAGTATTGTAACTATTATTCTGTTTTTTCATACCAGAATGTTGTTTTGTCACTCTAAATCGTGGAGGTAAGAGGCAACTCAACAACAGCAATCTCTCCTGATCCAACCTTTGTCACGGTTATCTTGATGTTTTCTTCACCCAGTTTATTCAAGTTAATCCTGCTAAACAAATTTACAAAATGAATTTGTTGCACTTTTGAGTGTACTTTAGCACATTCATTTTTATCGCTGTCTCTACTCTCTTCTCTGTGTTATAGACAGTGAACATGTATACATGGTATATGTATACTGTTTTTTCAGTAGAATTTGCAAGCAGTGTAGCCATTCTGATCTGAATGTCCCAGTCTCTGTTGTCAGGAAATGTTGACTGTAGGTTACATGTATTGCTTTGACTGTGTCCTGGCCTTGGGTCTTTTGAGTACCTTTCTGATAGCTTTTTTTTTTTACATGACAGGTTTGTCAGGGGGAGCTTTCATTGATTTGTTTGACATCGTTAGAGTTAGAAGATGGGGATTAGTCGGCTCATAACATGCAATGGGGGGGGGGGGGGGGGGGGTTCAATGTTAAGTAGTAATGTTGTAAAATGTGTCTATTTGAAAGATATCATTCACTGTCATTTCAAAGTAAATTATGGGAATGATGAATAGATCTATATATAACTGCAATGATGGCGGTATGTTTTTTTTTTCTTTCCATTTATTTTACTTTCCATGATAATGTCCATAATTTGAAGGCAGCATTACTTTTCTGTGAATCGAATGAACAGATTTATATTTTTCCGGATCATTTATGTTTTATACATTGTTTGGTAATGTGACATATTTTGTCAGTCTCCTCTGTGCATTCGCTGTTTTCAAGCCTCCTTGTTAATGAAAATGTGCATGTGAATATGCTGATATTGCTGACTTTGAAATGATAAAGTAGGTTCTTCTTGTTTCCTGTTCACCGATTATTTAAAAACTAGTTCTTGCATGAGCTCATTCCATGAGGTCTTTTTTCCTCCTGAATTAATATGCTGTTGATCTCTTTCATTCAAAGGAAATAAAATATCAGAGTTTAAGAAAACGATTTCAAGTACTTAATTCTGAAAAAGTGTACTTTTTCTGACTAAATTCTTGAAAATGTCAGATGATGTGTGAAATGGGAAATTTAGGTATCTCTTTATTTCATGGTATGCAGGCTTCTCCTCATTTGACAACAAGATATGACAATTTAATAAAATAAAACATTTATAAGTTTTGGTTCGAGTTTTTTTTTCTTCTATTTTAAATTCACTGTTTGTTAGTGTGCAGAATGAATTTGAAGTCATTTGTCATCATTTAAGTTCAGTGTCCCTCAAGACATTTTCTAGGCAGAGCTCTTGGTAGGGGTTCTCGTGGCCTAGAGATTAAGGTGTTCGCCTCTCATTTTAAAGGTCCCAGGTTCGAAACCGAGTAACGACCGAACAAATTTTCTTCTCTAAAATTGTCTTCTTTCACCTTCTTTCCTGCTCTCTAGCATTGTTTTGCCGTCTGCTTTTGTCTCCACTTTCTCCCCCCACCCCTTTGCCCCCTCCTCTGGGCTTCCGACTCTTTCTGCAGCCTTTCTACTGCTCCTCCTTGGCTCCTTCTTACTGCTGTCTTTCAGCCTCACCCCTGATCTTCTGGTAGGAAAGATCTACACCTAGCCTTCTAAATCTCGGAGGTCCCGTGTGCAAGTTGCGCACGTTAAAGATCCCTTGGTGGTCTAAAATCGATAAGAGTAGGCTTTGACCGCCACCCGGGCAAAATTTAAAATGTCCTACCAACTAAAAATGTTTAATGTGCCCCGCGCGCTCATATGACCTTATGCAGTTGCGAGCGCCGTAAAACACTTACCTAAAAAAAAAAGAGCTCTTGGTATCTATCAATACACCCTGCTGAGAATGAGAGGATAAAAATACAGTGGAACCTGCTGTAACAGTCACCTGTATAAGGAAATCACCTGTACAAACGACCACTTCCCATTTACCTCCTTGCGTTTTTTTAAAACATTTTTATTGACACATGTAAGACTTCCACCTGTCTAAGACAGCCACTTTTCTCCTCTACAATGGGTAGTCATCTTAGACAGTTTCAACTTTATTTGGCTCCTGAAAAGTCGTTGTCAGTATATGAGTTTAGCTTTTCTGCAACATTTTGTTAATCAGAATCAAGTTAAAAAGCCTAGAGGGGGGCTCTCGTGGTCTAGAGGTACTGTGTTCGCTTCTCATTTAATAGGTTCGGTTCGAAACCTTACAGCGACGGGAAAATTTTCCTCTCTAAAATTGTCTCCTTTCGCCTCCTTTCGTGCTCTCTAACCCTAACCATGCTCTGTCGTCTGCTTCCGCCTTCATTTTCTGCCCTCCCCCCTCTGCGCTCCTGACTCTCTCTGCAGCCTGTCTACTGCTACTCCTTGGCTCCTTACTGCTGTCTCTCAGCCACACCCCTGATCTTAGGGTAGGTCAAATCAAACATCCAGTCTTCTTGGATAAGGGCAAAATGTCTCGAAGGTCTCGTGTGCAAGTTAAAAACGATAAATGTCCCTTGGTGGTCCAAAATCGATAAGAGTAGGTATTTGCCGCCACCCGGTCAAAATCCAAAATCAGTTCCTACCCAACTAAAAATGTATTGTGTGTCCCGCGCGCTCATATGACTTTACGCAGTTGTGAGCGGCGTAAAACACTTACCAAAACAAAGCCTGGAGCTCAGAGCAGAGTTATAGTGCTGTAATCAACGGAGCCACCTACTGTCACCATTGTCGTGGTTTTATACACGCATTGTGGATGATAGATTGACGCTCTTTAGAAATGGGTGATGTTGTAACAATGTATGGGAAAGAGTGCTATATAAAGGCCATCTACTATAAAAGTCTATTGTTATTATTCTGACAAGAATTACAAATACCCTTTTTGCCTCTGTTCACCCATTTGCAAATGGTAGCTTGGCTATAGGTAGAGACAGAATACGATAGCGGTAGGGCTTGACAGATGTCAATTCTGCATGTGCACGGGGGGGGGGGGGGGGGGGGCTGAAATGGTGTTTTATAATGAGTAAGTTGGCAAAGAGTCAATTGTGAAAGTCATGTTAGCCCGTATGGGGGTGCATGACTATAGATAAGCATTTTGGCGTTTTAAACGTTTAAGGTTTTTTGGATGTGTGGTTAGTGGGCCCTCTGGAGTGATTTGCTCCTTTTTTCTATCACGTTCAAGCATCCACCATCCTTGTATCTCTCTTTAAAAAAATATTTTACCCTCAAGTAACACCTAATCTTCGGCACTTATATGACCTACTTGTGTGGCAAGAGCTGTAAAACTCGTACCAAAAGTTTTTAAGTCATTGCTCTGATAAAAGAAGCATCTTTTATTAGTTACGCTCTTTTCTGTTGCATGCGGAAGACACCAGTTCGATTTCCTTGAGGCAAACGAGAAGTTGTTATTTTTTTTGCCACTCTGTCCGTCTGTCCGTCTGCTGGGATGCCGTATCCTGTTCAACATAAGTTGGCCTTGAAAGCCAGATTGGAAGTAACGCACCTCTTTAGGGATCTAAATTGTGTCGATGGGGGCGTCAATCATTAACAATGATTATTACAAGCTATGTCAAAATATGTGCTGGAAAAAAAAAGTGAAACATGAACACGTTAACTCCTTTACCTAACAGATGAGGTACCTGTGGTTATAGTGGGAAGGCTTTTATTTAAAGGAAACATACAAATACATACAGAGTTCATGTACATGTATTATAATCTATGTGGAAAAAACGGATGGGGGCGGGTTGGGGGGGGGGCTGTGGGACACATGCACTTAAGTTAACACTAGAGTTTGCAGACACAATGGGAAGTACCAACGATACACATGTAACAGGTGTGGGGGAAAAAGGTAATAAGTGCGAGTATTAACATATTCCCTCTCATTACGATCTTACGTTCAAACATGAAGAAGTCTCCAAGACAATGGTCAAATCCCTGTCATTTATATAATGTGAAAATGATGGAACAATTCTTGAAAATCACATAAATCGAGAACTGACACTGTAAAAGAAGCGTACTCGGAAAGTTTGGCTGAGAAAAAAGAGTATTATTATTATTATGGTTTTCTTGATATTGGTTTCCATAGAATCCAACATTACGATATTAATAATAGACATTATTCTTCCAAGTTGTTCAGAGAAGAAACTTTCTACAACCATGACTTCCTTTTGTCTTTAGCCTGTGTAAATAGATGGGGAACGGTGACTAACTGGGACCGCGGCATTGCTTTAATTTGTGTCTGTCAAAACAAAGGGCTCCATTTTTTAAAAAGTAAAAGTTTCTTGGACCAGAACTCTTTAGGGCGGGAAAATTCATCGTACCAGAAAATATATTTCCTTGAACAAGGCTTGCACACTTTTTTTTAACAACTGCAATCCAATTGTGAAAGCAAAAGGGCATTTACGACCACAGAGTGTATTATGTAATAAACATGCATTGACATAAATATGTGTACGTTCAAGTGGACATTGCTACAATGTGTCAGGGTGGAATACAACTGAGGGTGGGAGGCTGGAGGGCGGTACTGGTAGGTCCTACTTCTTTTCTTTCCCTCTGCTTTTTCTGTCTTGTCTGTCCTTCTCTTTCTCTGCACTAAATTACCAGTGTGTCAATGCGCTTCTCTTTACAAAAAAAGCAAACAACAAAGGGACAATATCAAAACCACCATGGCCGAAAGACACTTTCTTAAAATATTTGAATTCTGTGGTTTTCTCTATCGCTCACAACGATGTTCCCATTTGCCAGAATCGCAACTCCTTCCAAACCTTTAAAATGGCCATTTTCACTCCCCCAGCTTCCGAACATGGTATAAAAACGACCGTCACCTCGAAAAATCTGTATTCGGTTGTTGCCGCTATCTGCAACAACGACGAAACCCTGATGGTCAATAGCAAGGCCGCGTGGGAATTTCATCTGACCGCGGAGGGTTCCGCATATGCCAAAGCTGAAGAGAAAGTCGCCGTAGATGCTGAAGACCTGGATGCGGTGATTGCTGGAGTCACTGACGTACACCTTGTTGTCCGGGCTCACTGCGATGTAGTGGGGATTTTCAAACTGCCCCGATCGGTTCCCGTAGTGGCCAAATGTTCTGACAAAGGCTCCATTAGACTGAAACACTTGGATACGATGGTTCTCCTTGTCGCAAACATAGATGAATCCCATGTTGTCGCAGGCGACACCCCACGGGTAGTTCAGCTGACCTTCACTAGATCCCTCACTACCAAAAGAACACTGAAACCTCCCGTTCCGATCGAGCACCTGCACCCGATGGTTGTATCTGTCCGCTATGATGATCTGGCCCAAACCGTTGATAGCTATCCCTGCAAGACAGTCAAATTCGCCATTGCCCTGGCCGTATGTGCCAAAAGACTTGAGGTATTTGCCCGAGTTGTCAAAGACTTGGACTCTGTGGTTGCTGCTGTCGGACACAAAAATGTGGTCGTCCATCGGCGAAACGGCCACGCCTCTCGGCCACGTGAAGCTTTTTGGCTCACTGCCTCTGTCCCCAAACCGCACGACAGCGGTGCCTTTCTGGTTGTACCTGTTTCGGGGGCTGTTCACGTAAATGCTTGGGCTGTTACTGTTTTGGAACAAGCCCAAGTTTCCAGAGTCATCGATGTCATCTCCTCTGTCATTCAAATCAATGTCGAAGCGAACAGAGGGCGGGAGGAACTGGCCTGATCTCGCTCCGGGGTACGTAGAAGACAAGGGGTCTGTGAAAGAAGAGTCTTCTTCAGCGTCGTCCCGGATTGTCCGACCCTGGGTTTCCTCTCTTGGAGGACTTTCTTCATCGGAGTACTCGCTCGTGGCTGGTAAAGCGCCCAAACTGCGGTGTCGTGCCCGATTCCGCATCACCTGTGACAGAGTGGGTCTGTCGTTCCCCATCAGAGCAGCTATCCGGGTGTCCGAATTTCTCTCTTGGCGACTTCGCCGGTTTGGACGCATAGACCTCGAGAGGGCGTCCCACCTTGATGTGTTGTCTTCTTCTCGTGGAGGGGTTTCGTCAGCAAAATAAACCTATAGCAAATAACAGAAGATGGGAGAAAGTATCAAGAAACCTGTGTTGCTCTTTCACAAAATCTTGCAACTGACAGAAATCACATCAAGGCACATTCTCTCTCTATCTCTCTCCCCCCCCCCTCTCTCTCTCTCTCTCTCTCTCTCTCTCTCTCTCTCTCTCTCTCTCTCTCTCTCTCTCTCTCTCTCTCTCTCTCTATCCCTCCCTCTCCCCCATCTCTTTTTCTCCTCCTCCTCCTCCTCCTCCTCCTTCTTATGTTACCAAATACATGACAAAATTATACAATAACTATACATTGGACGAAAAGTGTACAGCAGCAAGAGGAACACAGAACAAGCTGAGGAAAAGGGAGAGAGGACTCCGTCTGGGGTGATGCATGAAGTAAACTAAAAAAGAGAACAAGCGGAAAGAACGTAAGGCAGGCACAGTAACGTTTTGACCCAACCTACCGACGGCTGGCGTAATCTTCTGACTTCTCTGGGCGAGTTTGAGTTAGCTCTGGCGCTGATGGCCGGCACCTCAAGTACCACGGCGGGTCGGTGCTCCGCTTGAGGTGGCACAGAGGCCCGTGTCCGTCGACTTGGCGGTACATCCAGCATAGATGGAAGAGGCTCCCGCACATTACTCGTAGCTTCTCTTTGACCTGACGTGCGCGATGTTATGATGAGATCACCAAAGTTCCCGATGGTAGACGACAAAAATGGACTCTCGAGCGATGCTTGGATTTGTTTGAGGTTTGGAGGTCTGATGGTTCCATCTTCGTAACAGTTGACAGTTTCCACATGCTCTTGGCTTTGCCTTTTCATTTCCATGAGATCTCCATCAGGAATTGGACGATTCATGCTGAGCATGGACTCCGCCGAGTCGCAGAAACTGGCTAAGCTGGCTATCTCGACTTCTGCGTTCTCTTGGTACGTTCTAATGGTGCGAAGTTCTCCCATGAGAAAAGAATCCACGTCTTCTCTGAGGGTTCTTTCCCTTGCCTTCAGCTCGCGGATGTGTTTCTCCATGGCTTCGGTGATCTCTACCTTCACGCATTCGCAGTTGTTCTGTAGTCGCGTGCCCTTCCTGCCCATAGTGAGAATCTGCTCTGTGATCTGTGGAAGGCCTCGTCTCACCTGGCTGATCAGGCAAGACAGATCCACTTTCACCTGCAAAAAAATTATAGAAGTTCTTGTTCGTTACGCAATACAATACAAAACTACACGTAGGCCTAATGTGTTACGTTTGACACCCTTCTCATCAACATGGACTGTCGTGTGAATGGCAGTAGTTCGATCACAAACGAGTGTTCTTGAACTTGCTTTTAATAATTTACTACCCACGCCTAGCTCGGGCATTTCGCCGACATTCAATTTGTTTTAAAATGTATCATCATCATCATCATCATCATCATCATCATCATCATCATCATCATCATCATCATCATCATCATCTCCTCCTCCTCATCATCATCATCCTCATCATCATCTTCATCATCATTGTTATTATCAAGTATTCAATGTAGGTGTTAGTACGCCCCCATAGACACAATTTAGTTAACTTTGGAGGCGGGCTTCGACATGGGCTGAATAGGATACAACGTCCTAGCGAAAATATTGTGATACTCTGTACGAAACACCTAACCGCTACATCACTGACGCCGGTCAAAATGATGTGCCCTATCTCTTTTATAGTCCTTAAATGTTTCATCAAAGAGGAACTAACCCAACGCTATACTGACCCATTTGGCAGTGCTGGGTCAACACCATAATTTCAGTGGCGTGTTGACCGATTGCCAAGGCCGAAGTTCGCTATGACAGAGTGAAGAGCAGTGCTTCGTACGCGGCTCCCCGGAACTGTATTTAAAAAATTGCTATCTCACCAATGGAAATACATGTAGGCCTACATGTAACTGTGGGTTCACTGTGCGCCCGTCGCGAAAAGATGATACATGCCCATAAAACAAATGCAAGGTGGATATTACAAATAGATCTAAATGTACATGCTCTTTTTTTTCAGGTGCCTGGGCCTGTACAAATGAAAGGCAGACTAGATTCTGACTCTATTTTTGACTCAATGTAGAACTGGCAATCGGCAAATTTTAAACTTGGGCAAAGTAGCACTCTCTGGTGAATCGCATACTGTAAACGATCTTTTGTACATTGTATTTTCTGTGCAATGTGTTGCATCAAAGATTAGCGAGCTGAAACGCAGACGGTGACATTAATTACTTAGAGGCACAGCTTGTCTTCGTTGTTCAACATTGACCTTTCTCATAC